GGCAAAGTTCTCTTGGGTCATTCCTGTCTATAAAGCCCTAATATTTCCCACCAGAAATTGGATGTGTTTTGACTTAACATTAACAGTCCATGGTGTTTGGTTGCCCCTCTTGTCTCATAACTTCTCTATTGAGAACTTACGAGAAAGTATTCTCAAAGCAATCTCCTTTGTAAATTCTCACTACAGACCTTATGAAGGAAAAATACATACTCCCCTATGTGTCTTTGACTGACATAGAAAAAACACTAGGGCAACCTCTTTCAGGTCCCCTCCCACTGTGGAAGTTTTGCTGTCATCTTAATAAATCCTACTTGCTTTTTTAAAATATTTATTTACTTATTTTATTATTATAATGGTGTGGGGTACAATTCAGGATTAGGTATACAAATGTTGATTATGCTGGTCCCATTGTTGATGAAGTGTGTCCCTTCCTCCCTTGCAGTTTCCCTTAACTGCCAATCCCACCCCTGCCCCTGACAGTTTCCCACTACTGCCAATCCCTTTATTATAGTGTTATAATTGTTCAAGGTCCACCTATGAGTGAGAACGTATGGAACTCTGTTCTTTGTTTCTGTGGTAGATCACTGAGTATGAGCAACTCTAAATCCATCCAAGCTGCTGCAAAGTCCATATGTTTGTCCTTCTTTATGGCTGCGTAATATTCCATTGTGTATATGTACCACATTTTTTTTTATCCAGTCCAGCTTCAATGGGCTGCATCGTTGGTTCCATGTTTTTGCTATTGTGAATAGAGCTGCAACAAACATACGTGTGCAGGTATCTTTTTGGTAGAATGATTTTAGTTCCTCCGGGTATATTCCCAATAGGGAAATTGCTGGGTCATATGGAAGGTCAATTTCTAGTTCTTTCAGAAATTGCCACACTGTCTTCCAAAGAGGTTGCACTAGTTTGTATTCCCACCAGCAGTGGAAAAGCATTCCTTTTTCTTCGCATCCTCGCCAGCATCTGTTGTTGTTTGTTTTATTAATGATGGCCATTCTTACTGGGTTTGGGTGGTATGTCAATGTGGTTTTGATTTGCATTTCTCTGATGATGAGTGAGGCTGAGCACTTTTTCATGTGTCTATTGGCTGCCCATATATCTTCTTTTGAGAAGTGTCTATTCATATCTTTTGCCCATTTTTTAATGGGGCTGTTTGTGTTTTTCCTTTCAGCGTGTTTGAGTTCCTTGTAGATCCTAGATGTTAGGCCTTTGTCAGAAATTTTTTTCCCATTCTGTGGGCTGTCTCCCTGCTCTCTTGATGGGTTTTTTTATTTGTTTGTTTGTTTGTTTGTTTTTGCTTTGCAGAAGCTCCTTAATTTGATGAGGTCCCACTTGTCTATCTTATTTCCTAAAGTTTAGGCATTTAGGGTTCTGATCAGGAATTGGTTGCTAGTTCCAATTTCCATAAGGGTGTCTCCTGCGTTTTCTTTCTAAGATTCTTATAGTTTGATGTTTTACATTTAGGTCTTTGATCCATTTAGAGTTA